TGCACGTGTGTCAAGGAATCCTCGCCCTATCGATGGATCCGGAAAACAGCATTCACCGCCTCGTATGGCAGCTGGAGTACGGTTCCAGGAGCACCTCATGCAGTGCTTTGAAAGATGTGGCCTCTGAAAAGAGGATCCCCTACGAGCCTGATTGCCAATATAAACACCCTGCTTTGTTTGACAGCTGATTTCATCCAGCAAGACAGGGGGCCATCACCACACAAACTAGCCTTTCGTTTGAGACACAATAAGCCAAGCACACCCAAAAGGATTCAGTAGGAAAATAATCTATGAAGGTCCCAAGTCCTGGCCGAGTCCGGCGCCGACCATGGCCTGCCTCCCCTGGTGCACGCTGCGCACCTGCTTGGGGTGGTGGTCTCACCACGGCAAAGTGGTCTGCAACTCGCAAGTGACAGAGCCAGGCCCAACTTGGAACCCCTCAAGAGGGTTGCTTGTTCCAAACGACACTACTATACCATATCGACCATATCTCCTATGAGTGCCATGCTGCTTTGAAATCGATTTCAGCCTGCTCCATGGCGCATGACGATGGATTTCGACTTCGATGACGCAAGGATCACATCGCGGGAAGCTCCTGTCTGATCTGTTTGCATAGACTTGAGTCTTGTGCTGCCTTGCTGAAACAAACACATTTTGTAGCAGTTGTCGCTCGATCCAGAGCCAGTTTGAAATGTTACAGGTCCTATTTTTGGGGCTATCACTCACTCATGTATAAAGTTTGGTTGTCTAACAACCTGAATGGCTTCCTGTCATGACAAACAACTCACCTACCAGAATCTACAGCAGAATAAAACCACCTAGCTAGCTCCTCTACAGGTGGATTGTGAAGCACTTTGTCACTTTGTTGCCTTGAACCTTGTCTGTCTACTTCGGGTCTTCTGCCTTCTTCACAAATTAAGGCTCTGGGCTACATGGTATGCTGTGCAGTTGCAAAAGCCCAAACACCTTTTGAAGTGCTGAAAAGCAAACAAATGTTCGCCAAGTCAGCAGGATGCGTGACGAAGAGTTCCATTTGTGTGTGAGATGGTAAACAATCAAACGGTTTGACTGGTTGAAAGAGAGACAAACATGAAACCACAGATCCAAACAATCCTGCAGATCGTCATCTGAACCACTTTCGGTGTGACTCTGCTCGATTCAACTCTGCACTGTCCAAGAACACCAAACAGAAAAGGACACAATTGCCGAAACAAGCAAACAAGTAACCAAACAAACGAACACTTTTATCGAATTGAACGAGTGGAAGTGCTGCGAAACCAAAACCTCCTGTACCAGAGTACAGGCTTGCTTGCCGAAATCAGGAAAACAACAATTTCAAGCCCACATCCCAAAACAGTTGTATCTTTCCAAAGTCTTCTTCTGATATTTGGGGCCGCATACACATCAGCATCGTCATCTCCTCCCCATCCACACCACTGGGCCAGTGCTGGGTGCTTCCTGCCATGGACCACCCACAAGGTGTGGGTCAAGCGACTTCGGCTGCGCGCCTGGCTGCTGGACGAATGGCCGAATTCATTTGAACACGACTTGCGCCTTCGGAATCTGAGGTTGACACTCCTTCCTTCCCATGATTAGGTGTTGCTTCAGGTCAAGACAGTCGGTAAAACATGCATGCTGGGTACTCAGGATTTTGTCTTCTCCGTCCCCTTAAAAGGAATGGTCTTCATTGGCCTTCCATCCCTTCTCAACATGGCTTGCGCCCAAACCCAGTGCCGAGCGCTGCCGCCCACCTTGGGTCGAAACTCCGTGGGCGGCGGTGGCAAGGGCGCGGGCGTCTTGAAGTTGTACCTCTCGAAGTTTCGGTTTCCCAGCACGCTGCTTCGCACGTCTTTCATTTGGTTCGGATGGCTTTCGCGCAGGAATTCCGGAACAAAAATGAAATCTGCAGGATCTTGGGGCTGTTTACAAATAGTCGAATGAATTCATGTTCATGAAGATTCTGATAGATTCCACATGGGAAGAAGCAAACACGCTCAACCAACCAAGGGTTTGGCCGCTATCGCCCAGGGCACTTCTTCTGAGGAGCCAAAAAGAAGGGCCTGCGCTACATGACAGCAAGGCGCCAAATCCCAAAAGGGCACTCTGTGTCAGGCCAGTTGCTCTCACACACAAGAAAAACACCTGCCTCTCTCTTGCTATTGGCAGTTCTTCGTGATATTCAGCCACAGCAAAGCAAGGATTCGACTTTTTTCAAGTCACAGCAACATCCGCCTCCATTGCAACTGCTGCGTTGCGTGGACGAAGGTGTTTCGGAAGATGAGATGCACCGGCAGAATCTCAGGCGAGGACACTCTGACATTTGGCGTGAGCCAAGGACCACGGAAATCAGACCAGCACATACCAGCACCCATCTTGTTTGGAGTAAATAGGAAGGTGATTCTCTTCCCAGCACCGTCTAAGGCGTACCGCTTATGGCGTTGCTTTGTATAGGTACCGAGTTTTTCCGAGAAGTTCACAAACAAATTTTGCAAAACCCGGAATGAAGGTGAACTCTTGATGAAGATGTACTTGCAAGACCTCATTGACTCGAAAGACCCGTCTCAGAGCTTCCACTTAATCCACCAGGACGTCCAAGGTGCCATCATCCAAGGCTTCCCACTCTGAAGGGCAAAGTCCAGGACGAAGCTGAAGTGCCTGGCTCCGGGGTGGACACAAAGGGTACGACACCTCAAGGTTCCATCCTCAGCGGAGGCCTACGTACAACCTTTCGTGCCTCAAGCATTCAAGCCGAGTGTTGGAGTAGTCTTCGTGGATCGTGCAAAGATCAATAGACATGTTGGCTGAAGACAGTTCTTCTTGTTCGCTTTCAGATTTTCTTGCGGGTCATTGCATGCAAGCATCCTAAAATGATTCACAGGATCGGCTACAGTAGGCCCAGCAGCTAGTCCATGCAGCTTATGACATTTTCACCAGGTGTGGTTGAATTGGACAGCGAGCTGCTAGCTGCCATCTGTGTGTTGCAGTCAGTGGCAATGAACCAGCCAATTGCTCTAACCTTTCATCATTATTTTTTTATTTTTGGATATCATATCCGAAAGCAGCCGAAATGGAACAGCTGCTGAAGGCGCTTTGACTGCCACCAATGTACCGCACCAGGACCCCCTTTGACACTCTCGAACTCCCATCTCCAAGCAGGTCAGCTCGTCTCATCCGCCGAGAAGGGCGGATTCGTGACCAGCACATCGAAGCTGGGGACTCAGCGGAGAAGGCGCCGCCATTCTTCTTCGGGGCGCCGAACGGCGACTCAGTGGGGTATATCATATCCCATTGCCAGGGCTCAGTGGATGAGGGGTAATGTGCTGAACTTTCTGAAAGACATAGTGCTAATTTTAATGTGTGATAACATGTGATAACCTTTTGCCCACTGTTGCTGGTAATGGGCTACACATGGCTACACCCTACATGGAAGTAACTGCTGCAGTAAAACAATGTAAATTCAGTGTGGACATCGGGTAACAACCCGCTACTAGGAACAAGGACGCTATTAGGTGGAGGTCATGGCAAGTAGGTTGGAGGCCATCGCTACTAGGAGCAAATGGCTACTAGTAGCTGGAAAAGCTCCCTTTGGGAATCGTTTCACCTGCAGTAACAAGAAGCTACTGGAGGCAAATAGCTACTATGAAGCCCTCGCAAACCCAAAGGTCCCAAAGGCCCGACAGATGGCCTCGCCAGCTCTCTAGTACTCTAGTAGCGACTCTCTAGTATGTCACACCGGTGACACGTGACGCTCTGGGTACCAAACCTCTCTGCTTGCAGATTTGGTAGAAGTCCTCATTCTCGTTGTGCACATGCCTGGGACTTGCCAGTTGCGAATGCGCACGGGTGGTGCACAGGTAGCCCATTGGTATTTTCAAGGCTTTTCTGGATGGGTTTTCAATACAGAAGGCGATTCTGCTGAGGTCATCCTCTGTTTTTCTCTAAGCGGCTCGAAGCCCAGCCGCGCCAAACGGGTCTTCACACCACCCTGGCAGAAGTACCTCAGCAAGACGCGATGGGAGCAATATTGTTTTTGCGAAAACACCAGGGTGGAGCGGTGACATGTCTTTCCAACAAATTGCACACTCAACATCAATGGCCACGAAGTAAGCTCACTGCGCACCAACACTCAGATTCTCAGCACCTAGTGACCCCTCCTCTCTATCTTGATCATGTAAGCTCAATCGCCTTTGCAACACCTCCGCACTTGCTTTTTACTTTGACGGCGAGAAGCGTCGGAATCCTGTGCGTTGCTTTGCCTTCTGCTGCACTAATCCGTTGGAGCCTACGGTGTCTATTTAAAAGTGCTTTGGTCAAAAGGTGGAAAGTAAGCAATGGCCTGCAACCTAATAGCGACTCCAACCCAAGAGTGAGAGCCTGCTTTCAGTGGAACTGGTGTCTTCCACCCTATTGTTACTAGTATCTACATGTAGCGTCCTTGCTCCTAGTAGCGATGCCAGTTGTTACTAGCAGCGATGCACTTGTTCGTGTCAGCCACCCCGTCCGGCTCCAACGGTGGGGCCGCCACTTTCGCCAGGCGCGAGAGCGGTGCCCGAAGGGGTGAGATTGGAGCGTCGGCGTCGCCGTCGCACCGCATCGGGGTGACTGGGAGGTCGAGGGGTGACATCGCGTGCTTCGCAGTCGAATCGGGTTTGACATCGCTACGAACGGGGCTCCTGGCCGTACTAGGAGCAAAGGACGCTACTAGGAGCTTTCAACTTCAAGACCTTTACCATCCTTTGTCCACAGGGGAAATGATACACCATGCAAAACCGCTCCCCGCTGATGACTTGTTGCCTTCAGCTATCTAAAACCTACGTAGCTATCTCTATCTCAAAAACAATTGGACTGACCTCCTTAACATATCTTGACATAACGATTTTCTCCCTTTCATGGACCCACAGGTAGCTGGTTACTGGCGGTTACTGGTTGCGTCTCATGCGTCGACGCGTGTGGCGAGTGAATTCCACTCGACCTGGGCCAGTGCTCTTCGCTTGGGCTTCTCAACAGCCCGACGATCCTGGGTGGAACGCAGCATCGCCGACAAGGGCGCGGTTGATGGGTCGGTTTGCGGGTCGGTTGGTTGCAAGGGGCAAACCGGATAAAACGTGCAAATCGTTTCACAAACCACCACACACCTGGTGATAGATGTGTGTTCAGCAAGTCCTCTGCAGCTGCAGCCTCACCCATTCACTGCTGAGGAGCCAGTCCGTGCAGCTTGCTCCTAATGGCAGGCCATGAAGATCTGGATGCAAACGTGATTGTTCCATTTCATTGTCTTAGTAATCGTCAAGCGAGTTGAACTCTTTAATAGAGTCAATTAGAATGATCTGTCCAAGTGTAAGCCTCTCGGAAAGAAAACACATCAACAAACAAAAGAGACTAGTTCACTTAAGGGAACAGTCAAGAAACCAGTCTGAGCATGCAAAGGGCCGGCACCAATCGACTCTGGACCACTTCAATCAAACCCTCAAAGAAAGGACTGCTATTTATATACAGTATTACATGCATGAAACAAAACAAGAACGCCTTGAAACAACCGACTGGTGCTTGCTCATTTGCCTGTCACCCAAAGGGGGAAAAGCATATTCTCCTAGCCAGACATGCTCGCTGTAAAACAGAGCTATATATACCTAGATCTTCAGTCCGGCACTTTTACAGGGTCCGGCGCCGGACTTCCAACTCCGGCGTTTTTCTGGATTTGGTCCGGCACTTTTTCCAAGTCACTTTATGTGGATTCTCAAGGCTTTGCATTCTTTGTGGGCTGCATTTCTTTGAAGGTAAACCCACTACTGATGCAATGATTTTGTTTGCAAAGTGTGCTCGTTTGCCTGTTCCGCTGTTTTCTCATTTGTGTTGTTCAGAATCTCCGTGTTTTGCAGAGAGTTGTCAAAAAATGGCACGTCGTAACTCCGGCGTAATTTCCCGTAATTCCGGCGTAATTTCCCGTAACTCCGGCGTAATTTCCCGTAACTCCGACGTATTTTTTTGGACTGAGTCTTCTGCAGGCTTTGGCTTTGACTTTGAACAGTTTTTCAAAGAAGAGTTTTGACGGGAGCCACGAGTTCTGCTACTTTATTGGGGGGCCGTCCTGAGGCAAGCTTTAAAGAAACATTAAGAAGCATAAGAATCATGGAGAGCAACCCACTTTGTAAAAAAACACTTTAGAGACACGGTTGCAGAGAAAGATGAGTTCATTGCCACATGTTCCTTGGTTTCTTCTTGGAAGTCTTTGCTTGGGCACAAGTTGCTTATATTTTGTGATGGTTCTGCTCTTAGGCCATTCGGAAGATGGGCGAGGGCAATGGGAACGGGAATGTTCGAGTGTGCTCCAGAAGAATTACTCGCGGCGCAAAGGCAATTTCCTTGTGTATGATCCAACCTTTTATCATCTCTGTTTTTCAGAATCTTGGATCCGGATGTTTTTTCAGGTCTCCGGCGCTTTTTTCGGAATCCGGCGGTAAGTTTTGCCGGACTCAGGTCCGGCACTTTTTTCCGCCCAAAGGAGGATCCAGGTATATATATATATATGTAGACGCGATGGCTTTTCTTGAAATCTTCATTCAATAACAACTCTGGGTAACTACAATCAATCCGAAGAAACAGTCACACACACACACACTCCTTGACAGCTTGACCTGCGAAGACAAAGACCTGCACTGAGAGCGCGATCACCTCGCCGCCGAAGCTGCACATTGGAGAGGCGAGCTCGCGTGCGTTCACGAACAAGAAAAGGGGCCGATCTTCCTGCTTCTGAACAAAAGTGACACTGACACAAAACATCACAAAACTGCTTCCTGGAGGAAACAAAGTGACAGTACTTTCAGTGCCTCAGGTCAGCTGCACCACCACGCATCGCCCACCCAGGTCTTGCCCCGCCACACACCACACACATCGCGTTGCAAAACCACACGCCGGAACTGCGCCGCGTCCCGTCCGAAGGGCCAAGGCCGTCGTGCCGACCGGCCAATCAAAGGGCTTTTGGTTCAGCAAGAGATCCCCGACGAAGTAGACCTTAGCCGTGAACGGTCTCAGCGGGAGCTCAGAAAGACGGGTAGCTAGGTTTGGCCGTGGGTTGTTTGGGGTGGGTGTTGAGGACACTTGAGTGTAGAAGCAGCGCTGCGTGAGTGCGAGACACTCGGCAGTTTTGGTTTCTTTTTAACCTTCCAATCAGCAAACGGTCTTGTTTTGTTTGGTATCCCCCATCCCCAAATATTGGTTAACGAACCGTGACGATCTATCAATTTCCCATTGCTCTGCAATATGCTTTGCATGGTCCCCTCCTTTGAGCATAGCACATGGTTTATACGTGGAACTGTGTCGCCAACTCACCCCATCGAGCGCGAGCGACGATCAGCAGCGAGAGCTGTTGGGCGCTCGATCGGATCACCGTGGACAAGCGCTTTGCGACGAATCCTGGCGAAAGACTTGAAAGGGCGAATCGCTATGGTCCAAGAGAGAAAGTCGTTGGTGAGAGATGGTGAAACTTTCATATCTCAGGTGCCACGCTAGTAGTAACAGGTGCCTTACTAGTAGTAACAAGAAGCTCTATACTTCTACATGAGGCTCCAGAAATTCTGCAGGCCCTTTCGCTGGGCTGCTGAAACAACTCATGGAAGACCTTGCCTCGAAGGCAAAAACAAATGAACGGGTTCGTTAAGTTGGACCTCCCAAACCCTTTCGATCCACAGGATTGATATTGATGTCTTTCCTAGTTTGGAGGAGACAACTCCAAAGAGAACTAGTAACAATAGTTGCTTTTTTGGTGAGTTTGTTGCTTTTCGCCATTTCAAGCCCAAGTCGTCGACTTGTGGTCCGCTTGCAAACTCTGCCAGACAGTCTCCTGCCAGCCAGTTCTGCAACAGCGTCACCACCAGCACAATAATCATCTGCCAATTCCAGGCCACAAAAATTCCAGACTCCATCCTGGCCGGTGGAAAATCAGAGAACCAACAAAGCGGCTTGGAAGTCTGCATGAAAACACATTGTACAGTAACATCATGTAACATCTATCTATTATGAGGCGGAAAATCTGCAGTGAAAATTCTGGAAGTCTTACGTACCTCAGTTTACGTGGTTGTGTTCGTTTCGGGGGTACTGATGTTCAGAACTACTATAGTAGCAAGTGCATCACTACTGGGCATTACTACTAGTAACAAGAAGCTACTAGTAACAAGATAAAAGGAGAACATAGAAATCCTTTGGGGAATCTTCTTTCACCATTTCTCGGGACTCGCTGCCTCGCTTTGAGGGTGCATGGCTTTGGTCTACCCCCCCGAAACCTGGCTGGAAAACGCCACGAAATGGGGATCGCTCGTCCCCCAAACCGATCCGAGGTTCGAGGGCTTTGCTCCGAGACAATTCCGCTTCCTTCCACGCCTGCCATCCACAGGGCGTTGCTTCCAGAAGGCGTCTTGGTCGCGCTTGCTGGTTGCACCGCAGACCCAAAGCATGATGATCTCAGTCCGTGTGGCGCGGTGACCGCGAGCCGCGTGGCGCACCAACTCTGGTCCGACTGGTCTTTGGAAGGGAGAAGTGGAAGAGTCTTAACAAGGGAGCAGTACCTCCAAGACTGCAAACTCGCCACTGGTTAAAGAACTTTGTTTTCATTGGTGTGACTGGGGCAAGCAAGTGTCTATGCGGATGGTGCTGCAGCGCTTTCTGCACACATATCTGCACATTACAAGTTGGACATACTCAGCTCTATAAGTGCACATGATGCCGATGATGCACAGCTCTTGATATCACATTGCTTGCATCGGACCGGTTTGAGTGGAAGGAACGGACTCAGCATTCCTGTTTGCACAAGGTGCTGTGGGCAGCCCAAGATCAGCTTAACAGACATGTAGTCAAGGAAATAAACAATTTGATCTAATTTGTCAAACAGTTCACTTGGAATAAAGTATTCTTTTGCAGCTATCCTCAGGCCGTCCTCCAAAAGACTGAGTGTAGGTCTCTCTCATCTGGGAGACATTATCACGCTCTAAGGTTGCGGCCGATGTGAAAAAGCTTCCCACATCCAGATTTACCTTCTGAATGTAGAAGTGGCTGTTGCCGGCCTGGAAGAAAAACAGCCAGCGAAAGCAACTTTCTGGTACTCGTCTCGTGCACCATTGGGATTGTTTAATCTTCGTATCAAAACCCTTGTTGGCCGGCGTGCCGACGCATTGAACATTGAACATGGTTCAGGGAGCCCAAAAATCCAGGACACATCGGATGCACACTTGCGCATGAAGCAAAACTGCAAGTAAGACATTCGTGATAAGGTATGAAAAATGCCAGAGACTGACGGGCCGAAGAGTTGGAAACAATCTGCACAGCTGCAGAGTTGGCGAAACGGGTCCATCTCTCACTTCTCCACTCCACTTCCGATTTCGCTCAAAGAAAGAAAGGACAAGTAATGACATGTGCTTGGTGCCTTCATGATCTTCTCGGAGAGCATGGAGGCCAAACAGGACATCACCACGGAGAGCAGGACGTAGCCTGTGAGGACCGGAGCGCACAAGTAGGCAGGAGGGCTGAACGAAAGGATCACGTTCAGTGGATTCTTCGGATTCGGGCACCAAATGGAATATCCAAGACGCAAGCAGAAGAACAGGTCTCAAGATGTCACGATATCCGTGTATACTCTATTGTGCCTATATCTATCTACTCCAGGATGGCTTCACTTGGAAAACGATATTCTTCATCGTTTCCTCTCCAAATGGGTCATCCTATATATATATATACTTTGAACATGTGGAGAGTTATTCTTCATTTCCTCGTGCCAATTCAACACACGAACTAACACGAACTAACTCATCCAAGCATCTGATTCCGGTATTAAAAATGCTCTCCGTCTGGCTCCCTGCGTCGAGCTTCGATCGGCACTGCAGGATTCACAGAATTTGTGAGTCTCAAACACGGCAAGAGGAAGCATATGCTTAAGCATGACTCACTTGTTACTAGTAGCTTCTTGCTACCAGTAGCGATGGCCTCCAATGGGGAGGCAATTTGTGAACCTCAATCTGAATCTGCGTCTCGAGGCATCTCGGGGGTTATAGATCAATGACAAAAGAGCTGGCCAACTTGCATGTTGAAATTGGAGATTCCAATGTTCTACCGAGTCCGAGTCCTACCCTTGTCTCCACAACCAACAACAGAAGTCTTTGAATGCTTCACCACTACTTGTCGTTGCATTGTTTCATCAGGACATATCATATGAAGGGTATGAAGCGGAGGTTCTCTGTCAACCCGACAACCTCAGAACACCGAAATGCTTCACCTTCGCAAGTCCGCCAGCCACTAATGACGTGCTTCATAAAATGTCCGGTTGTCTCTGTCTCCACCAAACGAATACAACTCCCTTAATTAACTTGGCAAATTTTGGTGTTATATGGTGCTCCCCCAAATGGTGCTACCCCAAGTGGGGGTCGTTTCCATATCCTTTCTTGAGTTGAGTCGTAGCTACTACAGCGGCCACACTAGCGGCCACATAAGCACAGTTGACCAGCCAACCATCCCAACTCACTTCATTGATGTTCCCACCCCACAAAGAATGCTGCAACAGTTCCAAAGTAAGACTTCTCTTTGCCTGATGCCGAGTTCTGCAGGAGTACAAAGGCGCTGGCGCTCAGCATCAAGACCTGGTCTAGTCGATCTGCGAAGAAAGGGTGTTTTCTGCACCCCCCCTTGAGCGTGACACGTCCGGCGGTTGCTGAACGAAGTCGACCCCAAATTTCAACAGGCCTGATGAAGCCCACACCGGGCTCAAAGCTTTGCAAATTATCAAGCACAAGTGTCAACAAGAGGCAGAAAAAAAACTATTCCAACCATATGCCATGTCTTGAAACCACACGTTTTTGTGCCATTGTTGTCTCTTTCCTCTTCGGCCTCTTCGTCCTGGGAGCGTTTTGCTGTGTCGCTTTCTTTTTTTTCTCCGAGGGGCCGTGAGGGCGATCCACTCCAGAAAGCTATAGGAGCGCCGGAAGATCCAGCGACTCAACAAGGCGCTCAAGGGCATGTAGACGTTCCCCACCACCTAAGACTAAGACCGCTGTGGTCAGCCAGCTCCGCCGTCCGGCGGAACAAAACGAAAGGGAGAGATGACAAGACGCCGTGGCCGCGGTGTCGGTTTTTTGTTGCTTTTTGATATCTGCATGTCTTTCTTGTTGGGGGAGACGTATAGTGTCAGGATAGTATAGATAGAGAAAACAAGCACCAGCCACTCTAGCGATCATGGGGCCACAAGTTCCACATCAAAGACATTTCCCAAGCGGTCAAGCAGTTTGTTTTTCGTCGACAGCGGTCAAGCATGCGACAGCCCCAAAAAAGGTGTGCTTTCGTCGCTGGAAGTTGGACGGCTACATCTGCCAAGCTCTCTCTCTCTCTTTGACTTCTTTTGTAGCAAGTTGGGAGTGGCATCCCTCCATGGCTCTGCTGCAGCAAAGGGGCGGTGTTTTCCATGCCACTCACCTGGGGATATGGCGATCTACGTAACGGCGGAGCAGTCTGCGAACCAGTTGAACCAGTTGCCAAGTCAGAAACATGGCCGAGAAAGCTCTGACGTCCATTCTCTGGAGCAAAAGACACCGGTGCTTTCCGTGAGCTTCACATGTCCGTTTCTATCGTCCGATCACCCCAAATTCAACACACGGTCGTCCAATGGCCAGAGGCTACTCCATAGGCTCTTAATGGAGTTCAACTTAACGCCCTGTAGTTCTGTGTAGGACCAAGAGAGTCTCATCCCACCTGGCCGCAAAAATATGCTCCCAAGTTCTTTCCGCTTCTTTTCGGTATCCCAAACGTCCGCCACCTTCCTTCCTTCCGTGTACCCCAAGTTCTTCCAGCGTCTTCCACTCTTCGACGCTTTTGTCAACAAGGAGCTCCAATGCTGTAGGCCATGATCGTAAAGGTCTGACTCAAGGAGAAGCAGGTGGCCACAGGGAAACACCGCAAGATCTCCTCCGGACCGATGCTGCGTACCACATCTGTCGTTTTCCGCGTTTTCCGGGTCACTTGCTCTGCGCAGCGACAGGCTGACCGTCGCGGGGTGCAAAGACGGTTTTCGATCGAAGGGGAACGCTTGGGTGGGCTTTGTGCGGAAATTTTGGCATGGACCTTTGAAGAATTATGCTCTCAAAATTCTAGATATATTATGAACAATCAAGAACATTACATTAATTCAACAAGAAATCCAGAAAGCATCCCCGTGCATCCGCCAGGTGTGTGATTGATTTTCAGTCACCGCAACTCCACTTAACAGCAACCAGAACCTCTTTTTTGAGACATTTTTAGACATCAATTCCCGGTCCCCACTTCGAAAAACGCCCAAGGCCGGGCCCACCTTCCAGGACAAGGCCGCTTTCAGCCCGTCCACCCCTTCCACGGCTGCCGACAGCACCACGCCAACCTGAGCGTCGGCCAGCGCCGCACCAACAGCGCCGAAGCGCTACGTGGAGTTCGTTTGGGATCTCTTAGGGTTGGATTCGAATCACCCCACTGGTGTTTCAGAAAGAAACACATATTTTGCAAGTGTTGCTATGAACATCTGCTTACTGCCGGTTCGGAAAGAAACTACGACGTGACACGGTCCGTGAAACTCCCCCGCGCCTCATGTCCTCGCAAAATTACAGCCTTTATCTTGTGTGAGCGTCACTCTCCAGGGTGTGGGAGACAATAGGTGACAAATCTTGACCTCCTCCTCCTCCTCTAATTATATCTCACTCATGCACTCCTAAACTTCAATCTCTGAGTTCAAGTCCGACCCATCCGTCTATACGAACCCCTCCCACTCCTCCCACAAGACCCCCCCCCAGCGACGACGACAGCGACGAGCCAGCCGGTCGTCTCGTCTGGGCAGCCACGATGGAGGCGCCGAACTGCGCGAAGGTGATGGACTGAGAGACGATGGGCCGTCCACTGATGTATTGGTCGTTCCTGACGTGGCGTGGCGATCCCGGAGGTGCCCGGTTTCAAGGAGTTCGGAGTGGAGTTGGATTGCGTCATCCGTGGAGTGCGTTTAGAACGGGCATCGCTGAAGGCCTAGAGAGGAAGTTGGATTGGCTTGTTTGGAAGATCGCCATGTCGGTCGGAAATCTTGATTCATTGACTTTGGTTGGAGTGTGGACCCAAACTCCTGGTAATTGTTTCTTTGATGGACCATATTTGACCTCGAAATCACCGGAGGCTGACCGCTGAACCGAGAACATATCTACCGCCATTCCCAATGGGGGCTCCCCTTCCGGCGAGAACTCAGCTGATCAAACCTGCTCCAAGCGTCGCGATGGTCCTCGCGGAGTCGAAGAAGACAAAGACCTCAGCCGGAGCAGAACAGCTTCTCGAAAATCCATCAAAACAGCTTGGGCATCTAACCTAGCCGGCACAGCAAGAAATCCGAACGACTAATTGCGAAGGTTTTCGGATGGAAATCGTTCACTGGGCAACCTCAGTGGACATGGGTGAAGTTTTAGGCCAAGGTCCAGTTCACCAACACACCCAACCTTTCTTTATGGCAACAACAATTATCCCCTTCGATCTATCTCGTCGTCTGCTTTCCAGTCTTCTCACCGGTCGAACTTCTACCTGACGACCCTCCAAAGATCATTAGCCAGTGATATCTATAAAGCTTCTTGAAGCCTTACTGTTGATACAAGAGCCCCACGATGAAGAATGGCTGAGGTCAGGCTGAGGTCCGGAATGCACCACGTAAGAGAGTATCCTTGGTACTGCTATAGTGGCTATGTCTCGTTCTTCCCTACCTCTTCCGACGTCGCCCAGCTGACGTCGCCCCGCTCCGCTCGCTCTGCTCCAAGCATCCACAACACATGCGAGCTGAATGAGGAGACCTTTCCTGAGCACATGACATGACCATGCTTTTGGACCAGACTGGTGAAACAACACACTTATGTACGAACGAACAAGACGAAAAGGATTCGCAACAGGCATCAACACTGTTGGGATCTTCCGTTTGGGAACAAAGTATTTGCTGCAATCCATCTCCCTTTCTCGTAATAACAATATCTTTCATGCCTCGCGGTGCCGCCGGCTACCAACACATTGCACGTTGCTGCCACTGCTGCCGTGCGGCTTGGAGGATATCCATGCGACGAACTGGAAGTTCCCCGCGGAGCGTTCCTCTTCTAGAAATTGACGATTCAACAGCCTCACGTGGAACAATGCGGCTCAAGCGGGGTTGGCGGGCGAGGTAGAACATGCGGTGTGTCGCTTTCAGGGGTCCTTGCAGTGTCAATGAAGGTTCTAAAGACCAGGAACTCTTTATATCTGAAGCCTTTGTAGTTTTATCACTTGATGTTTCATCTGCTTTGGGAAACATATGTAGGGTTTGCGGGAATGTATATATGCATGTATGAAATGGAAGGGTGAGGCTTTCTCGGTCCTCACCCAGCTTTCAAAAGCGTTTGGTACGTGGATTCGACCGAAGAGCTCGAGGCGTTCCACTGGCGGGAGCCGCGGCAGGAGCGAGTCCAGGCGCTGTCTCCGACTCAAAGAGGAAAACCTGGGCTGAAAGGTGTGGTTTGAGGAAGATGGGACACTATAGGACATATGTTCAAAATAGATGCTAGGCCGATGGCCTATTGTGAGCTGTTTTCACCGTTTCTTGTACTCATTGTGAGCTGTGAACGTTTGGAACTCTGACAAATTTGGGTGCTAGAACATCGATATGGATCCCAAAACACGCGCAAACACCTGATGCCCAGTGACCCCAGGTTTCAGCCAAGTGAGTCCTTTCGAGGAACAACCGTCAGGACGTTCAAGCCGTTCACGTTAGGCAGCCACACCGACTGCATCTTTTGAATTATTGTTTCTAATAGCAAACATTGTTACTACTAGTAAGGCACTTGTTACTAGAAGCGATGCACTTGTTCCTAGTAGCTTCTTGTTTCTAATAGCTGTTTTTTGGTTCTTCCGATTGTTCTGATGGATCCCTTCACATTCACTACTGAACTGGTTGACCCACAACACATCAAAACACACCCGGTGCTTCCCAATACGTTCCACTCCGTGGTCGTTCCACTCCACTCCTCTCCCACCGATCCCTTCAAACCCGGAAGCTCCGCGGGCGCGCACACCTGCAGCTCCGGTGGAACACCTTGGAGTGAACGGTCCGGTCCGGTTGCAACGGATCTTAACGGCCATGGCGGCCATGGCCTTTTGATCGTAGCAAGAAGCTTAACAAGAAGCGACGTAGTAACAAGGTGCATTGCCACTAGTAGCAAGGTGCATCGCTATTATTAGTCCGTAGACGTAATGACACCTTTCAAGATTCCCACGTCCATCCCGCATCGAAACGGAAGAGACCAAACAGCCCCCCCTGGTACATGGAAACGCATCTGGCCCAACGTCCAAAGTCTAGTGGTTTACAGGACAATCGTCGCCAGATGAACAAATACACGACTGTCTCTGTCCTTTCACAAATGACACAGATTTGGGTGATTTACTTTTCTTTGTATATACAATCCTAAATGCAATGTACTGGGCAAATCATCAAACATTTCAACCACGAGACCCTTTGCCAATTGCTGTTGGGTTGTCCAATATTCGCCCCAGTAAGGAAGAACAGACTTTGCAAAGAATCTAAAACCATGATAATCTTTTTGTGGGGTTTAAAGGTCGATAAACAAAGAAATGCAACATTTATGCTTTGATCACATTGCTCCACCTTCCCGACATTCTCCCTCCACAGCTTCCACAAAAAGATCAAAAACAAATCTCACACCACTTCTCACACCTCACACCTCACACTTCTCCTCACCTCTAGGGGAGGACGCCATTAGGGGCTCCTGGCATCGCTACTAGGAGCATTCTTACTACTAGTAACAAGAAGCTAATAGGGGCTCCTTCTCACACCTCACACCTCACACTTCTTTTCTCCTCTCACCTCACATTCCTTGCTTCCAAGGCTCGCTCTTCGGTGCCCGTGGACCGTGCGGTGGCCACCAGCGTCGCCAGGTCGTTGGAGCTCCGGGAGCCCGTGGGGTCCGAGCGGGTGCGGCCGCCCAGCGCCGAGGCCGGCGGGGCCTGGGACGTCACGGCCGTGCGCGGCGTGGTCGGAAGGTGGATCGAAGTGGAGCGATGGCCTTCACGAAAGAAACAGAAAGAAACACAAGGAATTATAGACTTTTTTGTTAGTTAAAAACTTCTTGATAGCTTCTTGTTACTACAGGAGACTACAGCTGAAAGGATTCCCAGTGAAACGATTCCCAAGGAAGCAGTGTGATAGCCTGAGGAATGAATTGTGTTGACAAGTCAAACAAGCAAAAGAACACAGCAACGAAATCAACCGGAAACCCTGCTCGCCGCACTGGCGAAGCGGGCAAAACGCCATTAAACTAGACGACCTCATCTATGAGAAACATGTTTGGCCGGACGGTCGAAATTGGCTAAAACATGTGGCAACTTGAAGTCATGCCCGGAAGGACTCGCACCATCAATTGCCGGCAGGAATAGCACATCTAGTACTTGAGCATGTCTGAGCCTGAGCTCATGAAAGCTCCAGTTTGCCACAAGAGTGAACCTGTCAAGAGCTCAGAAGAAAGCTCAGCAAGCTCAACCATCCGCGCATCATTCAACTCGAGGTCCAGTGAAAAGCTTCCGCCCAAAGGGCGTCACCACCATTGTTTGACACCAAAAATTCTTCTGCGGCCTCCCCTTTTCAGGGCTGCTCTACGAAAGTCCTGGACGGACTACGAGGGTGGGTGGGGCGGATTGCCCGGAGTAGTGCTTGACTCAGCTGGTGAAGCACTTCTCCCCCACAAGGGGCGCCCACCACATCCCCAGCAAGCGCGTTAGCCCATATGCCTTGCTGTCATACATCGCGACCGGCGATGCGTTGGCCCCAAGGATGTTAAACCCAAGCGCCTGCACCCGGCCAGCGGTGCAATCAACTGCTGTGTTCGCAGTTGTCAGGGTTGGCGCCATCGTACACTCCACAATGAATGACCCATGATGATGTTCACTCGAGCGGCGTTGCCTAAAGGCAACCTGAAGAGTGAACAAGTTGCTGCTGTTCCAATAGAAAATGCTACTTTGCATCAGAAGTTTGCAGTGCAGAGTTGGATCGGTCGCTGCATCTTCAGTCTTTCCTTTTGTCCATTTCATTCCGCGGCATGGAATGCACACGCCACAGCCTTTGCTAGGATTCATCTCCAGATTTGAACCTGTCTGTCAGTACTGAGGCCATGTGGAATGATACGACATCTTTGACACTGTTCTCCAACCAATCTGTGGAACTTTTAGTTGCTTTAGGACTGTAGGGTAAAGTCACCACATCTCTCTTGGTGCCCATCTATTCAAACCTCGATATATTGATCAGGGCTTTTGGACCCCAAACTGGTGGCTAGGCTGATGGCCAACCGGTTTTTGTTGGGACACCGTCGCAATGCATGCGAGCGGAGGCCATTGCAAGCTGGGGCCACGATCCGTACGCCTGTTCTTTGGGTTTTCGTTTTTTTGGGTGGCATGGTCTGCAAACTGGTCAATGTGTGTGTGGAACCCACGACGCCTTTCGCTACGATGTCTTGCCATTCTTTCCCCCTGAGAGCCTGGAAGTTGAAACAGCAACTTGCAATGAGGTCTGAGTGGTTCAAGCCTACAGGGCGCTACTAGGTGGAGGCCATCTCTTCTAGTAACAAGAAGCTACTAGTAGCAAGGACATTAGGTGGAGGCCATCGCAAGTAGGTTGGAGGCCATTACTGTTAGCAACAAGAAGGCCTTCTATTCAAAAAAATCACCCCTTTTCCGGAACAGACCCGGAAAGCTGCTTCCTCGTCTTCCTCAAGCCGGTCAGACCGGCTCCAGAGTGTGCCGACACTGTGGAGCTACATGGTCACCAAGGGGCGTTCTCCACATCCGGTGCTCGGCATGCAGCTGCCTGCAGTTGGAGGCTTGAAATGCTTGGGCAGCTGTCGATGACTCGAGTACTTCACAAACTAGCTGTAAGGATCTTCCGACATGTCTTTGAAGCCTCGAAACATACAACTTTGGAACAGCTCGAAAATTGCATTCCCTATGTCCAGATGCTGCAATTCTCAGGAATTCTCAGCCTTACCCTTCAAAAGGCATGGATCGCATGCTCATTCATCCCCCTCTAAAATGCTCCGAAAAGCGTCAACGCTGTGACTGACTCAGCGCCTGCGTCATTTGTTTGATCGTCTGCCGACGGCCCAGCTGATACATGAAGGCACTTAGGGAGACGGTCAGGGCGAGCATGTAGATGCCTCGGCCGATCGGCAGCTGCCAAGGTAGGAGACCGGATGAGGGGGGCAGTGGGTTGAGATGGAGATGGACACAACGTGAAACAACATGCGCAGTTGTGCGGTTCCCCTAGCCGGATAGGAGTCTTTAAAGTCAGCAAGACAGGTATATGAAGGCGTGTCCTACCAACAGCATTGAGGTGGAGGGATGTTCCAACAAAACTACCTGGGCACAGGACAAGTACACTGTGCATAGAGCATCACCAACCAGCTGCCCAGCAGGAAATCGCTCACCCTTCCCTCGTTCCCTTCTCCAGACATGGTGCAAACATTCCCTTGGCTACGGCCCAAGATGATGACATCGCCAAGGAAGAAAATGATGATCATGGATAAACACTGTGTGACCTCACAGTCGAGCCGGCTGATTTGCTGAAAAAGCTGGATCTAGAGTTGAAGAATGCACATGGGCAGTGGGCCCAATCTCAGTGGCCTCAAATGGGCCATAAAAGGGAACATGTCCTTTTGAAACATCTTCAGTTGTATATTCACATCAGTGTGACAATGTGACTACCCGTCCCTAAGTCATTTGCCCTTGGGCTATCTTGGCACCAAGCAAATTCGGATTCCACCATGGAGACGTGATTCTCAACTCTGAAAGATGTCAGCAATGTTGGGTCGATCCCGACAGGAGTCCAGGTAGTTGTGATCGACCCAGCACGAAGTCCAACCCACGAAGTCGCTCCAAACAACTCGCACAATCCATCAACAGCGAAAGGAATAAGACCTCCAAAGAAGACCTAAGAGATGGAAGCTACTAGCGATGGCCTCCAACCTAATAGCGATGGCCTCCACCCTACTAGCGATGGCCCCCCTTTTTTGAGGGGGACTTCCCAGCATCCCCCAAAAAAGTGAAGAAGCAGCCACTGATGGCAATAACTTTTTCAGCTGGTGCTTGCGAGGAACTGCCTTGGCCACTGTGGACCAGTGCTTTACAATGACACCGGCCATCCAGGCTTGCAGCACTCGGATAAGCACGCAGATCACCTGCAGCACCGATGACACGGCCGAGTAAAACGGATCTCTCTGTGCTGAAACCGAGACCAAAGAATGGGATAAATGAGCTGAAAGCCCGTGGCAAGTATGGAACGCTCACTGACGATGTTCGGAGAAAAAACCCCAGTGGTTTGAGGATCCACTCAACAACAAACGATCCACTCAACAGTCAACTCTCACTCCTTCCCCCCTTAGCAAATCAACGCTTGATTGTTTTGGATTCGACTGATCCCAGGATTGCTGATCGCCGATCGCCTGCAAGTATCTCCAGTCTTGAAACGCACTCGGCGATGGTGACCTGGCCCCCCAGTTTGATGGAGATGGAGAAATGATGTGAACATATGCAGCATATGTGAGCAATGTGTGTATACATGCATAATTATATGTATGGAGATCATATATGTATTACGTGAGCATCACATTCATGGAGCTGGATATGTTGTAACTATTATACATGACCCTCTGAATTGGACACCACATGATCAAAGCACAGTTGAACTCTTTTTTGCTCTGGTCACCGGGATAAGTCGAACACGACTGCGGCCGGAGCACGCTCCCAAGTAGAGCAAGATCACCGCCGAGGTGAGCAAACCCCAAAAGTCGAAGCGAGCTTTCTGAACCTAGGCTGAGTTGGGCGGAAGTGGAGAAAGGAAAGGACATGGTCTGAACCTCGTGGCTATTCTTTTGGGGGTGCTAGTAACAAGAAGCTACTAGTAACACGTGCATCGCTACTAGGAGCAATGACGCTACTAGGGGCTCCTGGCCTTACTATTAGTAACAAGAAGCTACTAGTAACAAGTGCATCTACTAGTAGCGATGCACTTGTTGCTAGCTTTTGGGAAGGGATGGCCGGTTGAGCTTGTCACATCTTGTCACCATGGCAGACATGTTCGTATTTCATGCCACAAGTGATCCAGCTCTTTGCTGGAGGTGGACCTGATCCACCTCTACCTCTACCGTTGGGCCGACCTGGAAACAAAGAGCAAGCGGGGAGGTTAGGAAAATGTCCACGGTCCATGTTCGAGGGAGAACAAATCTACAACATTGAATACACTTAGATTCATGCTATATCCATGCTATAACTTGTAAACAAGGCAGTCTTTCAAGAAAACTCGCGATTGATTGGTTTGATTGGTCAACCTACCCCTCACCAAACCACAAACGATGGAGGATGGAGGCAAGAATTTACCCGACAAAGTCGGGTCCAACCGTCCAACGAAGGATCCTCTTAATTGGGAGACAAGGAGAGACAACGCAAAAGGCACTCTCAATCCCTCTCAACACTGGCAGGCCAGAAAAGCACTCGGTTCCATAATATATTGCCATTCTGGTGCTGTATGTGGGCTTTGCCCGCTAGCTACAGAACACTCAATGACAGTAGGTTGGAGGCCATCGCTAGTAGGTTGGAGTCCTTTTAGGAGGAATAAAGCCCGACTCAAACAAGGATAAGCAAGGACGCTACTAGGGGCTCCTGGCCTTACTCCTAGGAGCAAGAAGCTACTAGTAACAAAAGGCATCGCCTTCTTTTTATCTTCCCACCTCTTGCCCACTCGTCACCCCCGGCGATTCATTGCTCCCAGCGGCACAATAGAGCTCCTGGCCGTCGCTGGAGGTGTGTCGCTGTTTGAAGATGTGTTCCTCAGCTTCTTCTTCTCATCAGGGGCGAAATGCTTTTGATTGAAACCACTATAGAGATTGCGCAATGAGATTACGTCACGTTAGAACGTCAGAAACACACATGATCTAGATTTGAAGAACAACCACTTCACTGTGATTCCTTTGGGATGAAGTGCGAAATCCTTGGCCAGATCTCGAACAAACATCTGGCCTCACCGATGGATGAATCGCTCCATTTACTGGGAGCTGAGTTTTCAAGCACGAAGCATACTATGCCACACACACAATCGGAGCAATAAGAACGCAAGTAGAACCGCTAAAGCCTCTGAGGGGAGCCCCATCCCCTCTTCCAGAAGTTCACTCCCCAAGTGGCTGCTAACACACAGGCAGCGCAGGCTAAGGCCGCATAGAGCACCACGAAGCTGGCACCCTGAATCCCATCGGACCTGGTGAAGCGGTCGCGCCGTCGCAAGCGACCGATCGAACCTTCCGCATCAGAAGCGGGAAGACATGTGTGAGGAAATCCACTAGATATAAAAGTCAATGGAGACAAACATGTGAGGATAAATAACATAAATAACCTATAAACAATTCCGTTGAATGGCCGGGGGCCCACTTGTTTCTGATTTCATTCGGATTTCATGCTATCTGATGGAAACCCGTTGCGATTCCGGATTCATCTTCTGGATCCAAGGTACGGTAACTCAGAACAAGAAGCTACTGAGAACAAGTGCATCGCTTCTAGTAACAAGTGCCTTACTAGTAGTAACAAGAAGCTATTAATTTAAATTTACTAATAAGCTTCTTGTTACTACTAGTAAGGCACTTGTTACTAGAAGCGATGCACTTGTTACTAATAAGCTTCTTGTTACTACTTCTTTCTCCTATGTCCCAGCCCGTGTCTGGGCCGTGTCCACGTGCCGAGGAGCAGATCGATCGCCCGGCTGCGGAGCTCGCAGAAGGTCAAGGAACTAAAGGTCAAGAGTGCCTTGGAGGTTGTTCTTTCTCGGAAAAAAGACAAAACATGATGCTAAAGGATGCGCAATGGAGTTTTTCTCAGTTTGTTTGTTTCGCTGCTCTAAGAGCTCCAAGATCACCAAGGCCTGTGATTCAGGCTGCAAACAAAATACGGGTGAAACTCTCTCTCTCTCTCTCTGTCTGAAGCCAAGAAGGGTGACAGTTGTGACCCAGTATTCTGCAGTAGCACCATGATTCACTGATTGAATGGCGACCTTTCTGAGAAAGTATGGGTGTAGTTCTTAGATTCAGCAACTCCCGAAGCTGCTTGGGTTGGTGGCCACGAGAACTATTTCATGCCTCTTTGGTCATTGTTTTTTAAACTTTTTTGGTTTGGGCATGTTTGGACCAATATTTGAGGACCTCGTGAACCAACATGATTTTCTTATATCCCCATGTGTATCTGCAGGAACTTGTCAACATACTGAACATCTCCATATTCAGCCTCCCCTCTCCAAGCAGATCCACAGCACCCCAGAACCAAACCGACGACGCGCGACGCGCGACCCACTTGCGCCGGGGATCTAGTGCGTGTAGTTCGAGCCAGCCGTAGGCGCCTGAGAAACATCTTCACTTTGGCAAGACCGAAATCTTCAGTCTGCAAAGTCCCACTTGTGCTGAGTGTGACTTGGAAGCAGTTGCCGTGAGTATCTACATCAATGCTAAAAGTGATACATTGAATGAACACAAACTCATGATCTCATCCGTGCTATGAGTACTTCGTTACAACGTGGCCACTCAGCTCAAGGTTGGAGCTCTTCTGCCAAGTATGTCTTAGAAATGAAGCATTTTCAGGACCACAGGGGGCCAGAGGTTCATCAAAGGTTTGCTGAGATATCCAACTTAGTTCCTGCAGTTGTCCGAGTATTGACCAAGTGAGTGGCCACAGGCCAACCAAACAAAAGAAAACTGTCTGCCAAGGCAAGGGTGGAATATTGCACAGGAAGCTTTGTGTTTCATCGACCCCAACGCAGAAAAGGACACGGCTTCGCTAACGAACTGTTGATATGTTAATTCACCATGAACAAGTGCAAATTATCATCAAGCGCGAGCTGGTAGGTCCAAACCCGCATGTGCATCCACAGGCACGTCTGAAGATGAAGCGACTCACCTCGACAACATCGTCTGAAGATGACCGAGGATGAGAATTCCACCGGGTGTCTTTGATTTGAAGAGCAGAAACACCATTTGTATGGCGTGACAACTTTAACCAAGGGCCGTGTGTAGTCAGAGTTATGGCTAAGACACAACTACTGTAATTACATGCAATCACACCTAAGAAACTATGGTTGGACTTTCTAATACGGAAAAAGATGCAGTGCCATTCAGTGACATTGAACAGTTGATCAATGATCAATGCAACTATGCAAGAATATCAACATCTGGACTGTCCAACTGTTCGTTTATCAACCAACTGTCCCTCAATTGAACATCTGGCGACTGTGATAGTGGCTTTCTGGCTTACATGTGCAGGCAAGATACGAGGGCGCTCATCGGCATGTATAAACTTCCCCTGAGAGCAGCAACCATGCAAGTAAGAAGGTTGAAGGAGTGGAACAGTGGACTATATTGTTTGTGACCCATCAAACAGCGGAGGAGGAGGTTTAAAATGACATGTCAGTAAATATCATCAACCATGAGGCAGTAAAACTGCAGGATCAGCAGGGCATCAGAACTTCTTGCAATCGCTTCTAGGCTGCAGGCCATTGCTAGTAGAAGCAAAAAAGAAAAGGAATACAGATCCAATATAGTTTGCTATTAGGGTGGAGGCCATCGCTTCTAGGTTGGAGGCCATTGCTAGTAGAAACAAAGAAAAAAGACAAGGACAACATATGGAAGACACGTGTAATATAGTTTGCCTAGGAGCAAGGATGCTACTAGGGGCTCCTGGCCATACTACCAGGAGCAAGAAGCTACTAGGGGCTCCTGGCATCGCTACTAGGAGCAAGGACGCTAAGAAAAGGAATACATATCTTTCAATATAGTTCTTGCAAAAGCTGTCGACTCAACGCCTCACCCCGTTCCACCACACTTTTGAGACCTTTTGACACGGTCAACTGCTCCTTGCAAAACAAAGCACTAAGTCAATCCAGCAACACTGAATGTCATCCAAAAAGCACCCATGTCATCCATTTTCTACCGCTTTAAACCTTCTAGAGCTTCTTCTCAACACACCCTCATCCACCGCACCATGTACTTTCGCCGTTTTTTCGGAGGCACAGCGCCACGGCGGTGGCGGCGCCGATGCCCAGGCCGATGGCGTGGGCCAGGGCCGCGTTGCTCAGCGAGAAGAGCACCGCCGTGGGCAAACACCGGAAGAGCCTCCGTCGTCGGGTGCTGGAGATGGATTTTTGGGGCGCATATGGCGCTCCATGGTGCAAACGATACACTATACGGGCTATATAGGAGTTGATGTGCTGTTGTGTTTTTGTTGTGGTTCATTGATTTTCCACTCAGGTTTCTTCGTGTGGCTTTCTTGCAAATGTGGCCGCTGGCCTCATGGGTGTCCGATTCTCTCCAGTCTCGAGTGTTACGCATCCCGTAAACACGAACCATTCAATGCGATCGTGTACAGAGGAAGCTCTTCCTCCACCCCTGCATCCGAGAAACTGAAGGGATCCTACTTGCTCACCAAGGAATATATGTCACATCCCCAATGCACCCAAAATCAAAGTAGGGCGGCCAACTTGACATCCAGCCAAGTAGCAACGAAGTAGCTACGATCTGAACACCCGGCATCATTGAGCACCGAAGACACTGGGGGATGGGTCAACCCTGGCACTTCTGAAGTGTAAGCAAAGCCATGAACGGTGTTTGGGTGTCTAATGGTGCCTATAGTTTTAAGATGCACAGGCATAGACTGAAAGGGTGCCCAAGACTTTGATTCCAGGCACTTCTTAGCCAATCTATCCTTGGGACCACCGGTTCAGAGCTATATCCCCTGACTTCACGGCCCACCGCCACATTGGGTAATTACCCCAAAACCCTGGTGATTCTCTTCACGCCCATTTCGTCAAGCAGCTCCGCCGAGCAGAAGGTGTCGACGACCCCGCGGGGACCAATGTACCTGGACCCATCCAAGACTGAGATCCTTGTTGCACCGGAAGCGTCAAGCAAATTCCAAGGGTTGCCAACAAATGTTGGACCGCCAGAGGTAAATGCTCCCTTTCCCTTCCGTGCTTCTCTCTTTCTTGACGTGATTGCTGCGACCACTTCTGCATTAATCCTTCCAAAGCTAATAGAGATCATCACACAAATACTGCTTTTCCTAAGTTCAATTCGCTGCTTTCCCCACACTTAAGGATCATCCAGCAACGACTTCCAAGCATTGACACAGCGATTGTGGGTGCAAAAGGCATCCGGCATCTATATTCATTGCGGAAGTACTTAAGATTCACGGCATGTAGCATAAAACTGCCACCTTAAAACGATCTGCTCAGACCAGTTCGGGGACCTTGGGATGCATTCCACACCATTCGATTGACATGGCCGTTTTTTTCACCTCTGGGAGTTGGATGGTTCAACAGACTTCATCTTATCTTACAGTATCTATACCATTCTTGTCCTGCCATGTTCCCATGTTCCATGCATAGGATATACTATCATATACATAAACATATGCACATAAATCAATGTAAATCTATGATGAAGTCTGGAAGTCTGGGCATCTCGTTTCACCGAAAACAAAGAGGCCGCCACCGGCTCATCAGGCCTCAGTATCGCCACCACACAGATCAGCACTGAGATGAGGTCCTCGGAGTTCAAAGCGGAACTCTACACTCTGAAGCCCTCGACTCGAAGGAAGTTCTTTGCACCATCAGATCAACTCACTTCAAAGTCTTTCCCACTCAACTTCCTGACCTCCACCGCCGGGTGGACACACATCAGCACCCCCTAAAACGACCCACCGTCGGCGACCGTCTCCTGCAGGAAGACCAGCGCCTGCGCCGTCACCGGGTTGTGGCTGATGGCCCGGACCTCACCGTCCACGGCACGCCGAAAAACGTCGAACCTCCCGTCGCGGCCGTGTTTGGGCTTCGCTCAACCACAGCAGCGAGACCCATCGGCTCGCAACTGCAACGCTCCCAAACTGCGCTGGGCTGGACCCACGTCCACCATGTACTTGGAGGAGTCCACGATCAAGAAGAGGCCGAAGATCGCCCTTGGCTCTTCGAACATGCGCACGCGCACGCGCGGAGGACTCCACAGGAAACCCGGGGAGGGTTTGAAAGGCTATGATCTTTCCCGCTAGGGGCTGGTACTTGCCACAACCACTCAAGCAAATGAGAACACACTGCCACCTTCCTACCATCTATAGAACCCAAGACAGCTGATGCTTTTTCAGTTTCGAATGGACCGGCCTCTACCAGATCTTCACAGAATGACTCACTAATTCTCGAGGCGCTTCACCCAGTGGTCACTGAATCCCAACGCCAAGTCGACAGTTCGAGAACGATCACTTTACAGTCGAAAAAAACACCATCAGACGGAATCAAAGCGTATTGCTGAAGATTAGGAGCAATGACAGATCCTTGCTAAGCACGGCGTTGAAGCTTGCAGGGTTGAGCTGTTAAGAAATTTCGACTCACCTTTCGGTGTTTTGATTGAAGTCCAAGAATCAAGTGCATCCAGTGTCCACAGTCGCAATACTGCGTGAGCTGGAACCTGAAAGTGGTTTCATTCGACGTCACGTGTGGCTCATTCTGAAAGATGTTTTTGAAGCAGTACCCCAAGTAGCACTAGAGTCGTGCAAGCACAACACCAAGGTGGAGAGAAATGTAAGCAGGTTCTAAGGGCTTGTAGCCCAACACCCTCACATTGAATTGTCCATGTATAGCCTGCTCAAAAAGCTTTCACTACCTTGACAAAAAAGGAAATGAACGATCATGCTCGACGTGGGTGATTGACCTCTCCCTCAAGATCCCAGAAAGCTTCCATCAAACGTCCCTTCAGTCCCTTCTCACTTCAGAGTGTGATTGCCTGCCATGCAAATTGTTCAAGAAAAAAACACCAGATAAGCTACCACATATTCTAACAGAACAACCATGAACTCCTTGCTTCTCCTTCCTTCTTGCACCTTAGTAAAAACAACAAAACTATATATCCCTAATCATCCTAATACCGATGGCCTCCACCTGGTAGCTTCTTGTTACTAGTAGCGATGGCCACACCTCCCGCCGCTGCCACAGGTCGCCCGCCTCTCTGCCTCTTCGCTTCTCGTCTCGCTCGCGAAGTCCGCGGGCGGCCGCTCCTGGCGTGCTCGACCCGCGGCGAAACGGAAGAACGACCGGGAACTCGGTCATTTGGGTCTTTAGAGATCTGCGCCAGGGTCAGGGCATTTTGGAGGATGAACACAAAATTCTGACCTGCAAGTGTATGATGAGGTGGTATACCGTCAAGTGGTTGGTGGGTGAGCACTACGGTGCAAACTTGCCATTGACCACGGGCATCTCATCAGCATAAGACGTTCCGAGTTCTGACTGACATGAAGCCGCAAGCTTAAACCAGCCTGCAAGAACCTTGAAAGCAAAGCATCCTTACGAATTTCGCAATGTCAAGGATCATTGGGTGACATTCCTCGCCCAGCTGCGTTTCTTCTTCTTTGGTCATTCCTCGCCTTGTGCGTCTTGCTGTGCGCGGGCACAGTGACGGAGCGACCTGTGTGTGGTAGCCACGGTGATGGAGTCTGACCAGTTGTATTGTTCCGCACGCCGGCTATTACAATATACCTACACCTACAATTGTGATGCGCATTTCATGTTCTTTCATGTCTACATGATAGGTCTATATAAAGCCTAAAACCACTCTTGAAGATTGCCCTACTGAGCAAAATAGGCTGCTTGATTCTGCCGGACTCTTGCAACGTGCGCCTTGCCCCGAGAAGAGTGGCACTACTCGATCATCGGTGTCAGCGACCTGCCAAGACTGCGCCCTTCCGGCTTTGGGTACAACACATCCACCAAGGAGGTTATACCTGACATAACTTATTACGCGTTTTAAACGTGCGTTCTACTTATTGTATATAATATTTGTAACATGTTTCTCTTGCTCCCTGCCTTAAGTTTCTGGCCGGAGCCATATTAATCTGTACAAACGTTTTCAGGTTATGAGGTCTCTCGACTCATCTGAACTCCCAGCAGCAAACCTACAAAGCTGCCTTGTATTGCAGGAAAGCTTAAACCGCCAAAGCCACCATTTCTGACGTCACAAAGCACCAGCCAAGGCGCTAAAGGACTTGCAGCCGGCGACATGGCGACGGCCCAGGGCCCATGGGACGGCCGGGACGGCGAAAAGGTGGGTTCCGAGTTCTCGGCACCGCTTGAGGAATTGGGCCTCTCCAGTTGCTTGGTCTCATGCGGGATGTCTTTGGATTGTTTTTGCTGAACTGCAGCTCTTTGACGGCCGGATTCGCTTGGTCGCTTTTGTAGAGTTTCTTTCTGCGCCACGTGGATGATATTACATGGTCGGCTGCACCCGCATTCCGCCATTCAGTGTTTTCTTACGACAATCGTTTCATCCCAAATAAAGCACATCTTGCCTTGATATTCTGCATCTAGACCGTAAGCCATCTGAAGCTCAAAAAACGGCGCATGGGGTGAGGTCAACCTCGAAGGAACTGACATGGTCTTGGTATGTCTTCGTGGATATCTGCCTTCATGAAAACGTCTGAGGAGTTCCTCCGATCTTCCATGGCACCTCTCCATGCTTCCAGCTCCAAGAAACCATAGCAACGATCCATCTACTCTCATGATTTCCATGATTGCAGTTCTGTCTTTGGCTCTAAGAGCCTCCTATCCTTATGAACAAAGGCAAAAAAGTATGTATTGATATGTTTTGTGTGTTTGTATGGGGGAGAATCAAACATGGTAGTGATTTTGGAAGAACACATGATGGTTCCGGACATCATACATATACTCCCTTCACATCGAGGTGCATAATTGGATGATCTGCATCAAAATTGTGTGAACAATTGCCTGATCTGCATCCAAAGAAACAGCAACTATTCTCTTTGCCCAATACTGATCTCAATGTGTTTTTCTCCCCGTTGGTTTCCTCTATTTGCCAACCCATCCGCTTACTTCATAGTAACTAAAGAAGCCTCGCACGACCCATCCGCAGGATTTCTGAGATCTCCAAGCGGGTCGTAGATTTGCAGCTTCTTGGAGGCGATCCTGGATGTGCCCAAAAGCTTCGCAACGGCTGGCAGGTGCAAATTCTTTTCGAGGGAAGCGGTAACATGACATTATTTTGTATAAGTAACCACTTTGCAAATCATTTGGATGGGCTCATTGAAGGTCTTTTGGTGGATCAACATTGAACATGTCAGGAGCAGGATTGAACAACGAGTCTCTTCCACCAGGGGGCGTCAGGTGTCGGTCTCTTGTACCAGGGGGCGTCAGGTGTCCGTGTTTGTTGCAGAAGACCAACAGTGGAACACCTCAATCATGTGCATATAGTCAATTAAATAGTCATCTTGGCAAATGTTGTATCCGTGTGATTGTAGGCATACCAGGTTCCCTTCTTCGTCAGTTCCTCCGTGCCAACCGTGTTTGGACACATTTTTCCCATGTTTAACGGGGAAACTCGAACATGAAACTGCTGCAACTAACTACGCCGGCCAAAATTCCACTCCCCACCAGTAACTCTCCTCCAATGCTCCTCCGGCGAGGTGGCTTGAGCGATCTCCCGCAAGAGCTGCGTGATGTGCCTCGGATGGACGTTCGCTCGCTCGCAGGGAGGAGCCAGGTATGGACACCAAGAAAACGCATGCACCAAAGGGAGGCACCTCAAACTCCTCAAACATCCGTTGGGCCTCACAATGCATGTCCTTGTTTGAGGAGTCTAGCGAGCTCATGTGATTATGGAAGACCACTTATCCAAAGAGAATACTTCATGGATTAGCAGCTCAGAATTACTCAGGGCCTGAAGCATTGTCTCTGTAGAGTCCTTTCAGTCTATAGAGCGCACAACGGTGGCACCGGTGCGGCCTGCGAACATCTGGGTGCCCGGTCTTGTAGGCCATGCTGGGCGTCTCACCTCGGCCATGCGAGCCTAGCCCCTTGGGCGAGATCCATTAGTCACCAGCGCCCTTCGCTGTGGGCAACAACTGATGTCAAAAGCCATAAGAGACACATGGGAGACATACTTAGTTACTTGATTTGCTCATTAACTAACTATGATTCTTGGAAATGATCTTCTTGAACAAAACGCGCCAATTGTGTGAACCAAACGCCATGCCCAGTCGCAGTGATCGGTCTCGTCCACCTCGAAGGCGAACGGCTCGAGAGGCGGTGCCTGGACCGGTTCAATGATTCTCCGTGACAACGTTCACTCAATAAGGGTCATGATGTTCCAACATCATGTGAAATTGAGTGAATAGGGTCATGTGAGTCATGTGAGTCATTGAACATGGTTCGGGTTGATGTTCCAAGATGATGAGTTAATAAGGGTCATGTGAACTTAGTGAACAGTGAACCTGGTCTACCAGCTTGTGGTGATGCATTCAGGTCACTAGAAGGGCCTCCGAGGATACAAGAAAATGAACACAAGGCTCCTTGAAGAACAAAAAACCCTCCATATTCACACAATGAGGCCAAACCTTCCACTGAAAGACCATTGGCTTTGGTTGAAGTCCCTGTCTCAGCCCTTCCGCATCAGCCCACCGCTCAGCACAAGGAAGAGCTGCCTTCTTCCGCGCATGCCGCGTCACAGCCTTAGAATGGCGGGGCCGCCTTAAGACACGGAGTCCAACATTGAACACAATGGTTGGTAACTGACCCTCTCCAATGTTCAACATGATCAGCGGATGTTGCTTCTTTGGAAAAAGGAAGTACCTGTCCGAAAATCCAGGGTCATTGCACGACTTGGCGCATCATAGGCTCAACATCCATCAAACATAGAGATGCGATTGGAAATACTGGAACCACCAATCACCATATTCTGGCATATTCCAACTAATTACCCAAACCTATTGCTGCTAGGCCCGCTAGGCCTTAAGTCTGCGATGAACACTCCTCATCAGTTTCCTACCTACTACGAAACCACGCTATTTCTCCTTGTCCAATGATGAACATTGACGCCTGGTACGAATGACCAACGACACCGGGATGCCGTGGGTGCCCAGCTGTGATGCTGCCGTGGGTGCCGCGGCCGTGGGATGCTGTCAGCCTGGTGTGGCAAACGTGGTGTAAAGTCCATCCATCGGTTGTGCTTGAGCACAAAACGCAAGAGCAATGGCCTCCACCCTAATAGCAATGGCCTCCGTCCTCAAGCATGCTTAAGCATACAACATGGGACTTGGCAAGACTACTGCCAAGGCTAGAGGCCAATAAGTCTGCCTAAATGCATTGACAAGAACACCTGCATGTGGCAAAAACAATATAGCTCGTTCGATGAAATAATACACGTTCTGGTCTCTAAAAGACTTCACAGTTGTGTACGTAATTTACAACTTAGCCTAGGGCCACCTTTGATGGTGCTGGCGATTAGATTTGAGGCTCCAGAAATGCTGTTTTTCTCCCGTGAACCATGCCTCGGAAGTACGAACAATTGCCCCGCCCTCAGTAGGAAGCAAAGGGCCTTGGCACATCACAGCAATGTCCCTCCCCAACAAGTCAATTCTTGAGATGTCCCTGTCACTGTGTGGTTTGACCGGAAGGTCGGAGCTGCATCTCATCATTCTGATCTGGTCTGTGGATCTCTCGACATGGACATTTAGGTTGAAAAAAGCTCCAAGACCCTCTTACTGTCACACGAGCGACAGCAAGTAATGTCGCACGACTCAGCTCCAAACGAGAAATCTTCGCACGAGGCCTGCGAAAGGCGAAAATAGGACCAGGGACCATCCAAGCCAAAACAGATGCAGGGTTCAAGTTGGGTGGATGTTCCACTCCCCAAAAAAACAATGCAAATTCAAACCACCTAGAAGTTTACATGATTCTCTATCGACCACTGCAACTTGTTTTCTTCCGATATGACTCTAAATACAACACTTTGCACACCACCAACGCGCCTGACATGCGCGGCGCGGCCATGCTGTGTCATGGAATAGGACTGGAGGTGATTTGTCATCTTGGCATGGAGTTCCTTCCGTCTCAAGAGTAACACCAAGTAACAATGGGTGATCTCAGCAAGCTTATGGTGGGGTATGCTCCTCAAGGTATCTCATGGTTGGGTGAGCTAGCCGCCCTCGGCTGACTGCAGGCCAATAAGATGTCCTTTGGCTGCACGCCCGCCCTCTGTTTTTGTTTGGTGTGGGTGGTAAGGCTCGGCCTATGCATTCTGATTCTGATGCGCATTTTGTCATCTCCAGCTTTGTTCACTTTATGTTGCGGTACACGAGCCTAAACCCGGTAGAGTTTCAGGGGCTGTGCTGCTTGAATTGTCTGTCATGGATTCAAGCTGGCTTCACGCAACAATGGCTAAAGCCAAAAGAACATAATTTCAAACCATCAATTCCCCTGAGTCTTTATCCCTGATAAACACTCTGCAAAATATCAGCAGCTAACTAGGCCCCTCAATTCTGCCGATTCTGCCTCGCAATACAGAAGATTTGGTCTTCAATCGCCAAGGAACAACACTTAACTTCGCATTCTGCATATCCAGGGCACCTTGGGCCCTCATCTGCGGTTAGATGGACTCCACGTGAAAGGCCAGGTGAAACCGAAAGCGTTGGATCCGCCGACGGCGTGGGCTGAAGGACACCGGTCCTACCGAAAAAGGCACCCTCCTTCCTGGTAATCATGCCAGTGCTTCTTGAAAGGCTATCTATTCAGATCAAACATGATCAGATGCACCGGATGAACGGCTCTAAGACCAATCCAAACCCGCGATTTCCGGTCACAGCATCGGTGCTCTGCCTGTGACCCAAACCGTCACCCAACATCACTTAATATCTTTTTTTGGCCTCCGCCTCCGCGTGGCCCCATTTGGATGAGTGCCATCTATCAAAGGTCCTTAGAGGTTTGGCTATGTTCCACCCACATCTTGTGGGCTGTCCGATGGCCGCTTTGAAGGTATCTGAAGACACGTGAAATCATCCCAGTCGAATCGGATAGGTTTGCAGTTTAACTCTGGAGAAGCTCTGGGTGGTTGCCGTTTCTCCGCTACCTCTTGTTAGTTTCTTGTTGATGTTGGGTGGCAAAAAGCACCAGCTGTGTTTGCCTTTGGAACCTATCAGATATGAATCTTGGAGGGTAAAGGCCAGTGGTCTGGAGCGCCAGCTGTCTGAGACCAAGGGGAGATTCCTCGCGTTCGATTGCTCCGCTGCAGCAATGGAAGCACGGAGCATGGACTAAACAAAAACCCGTCTGGACATGTGAACATGATAACGATTTGCTCCGTTCGTAGCGATGCCAGGAGCCCCGTTCGTAGCAAACATTGTTCCTAGTAAGGCCAGGAGCCCCGTTCGTAGCGTCCGAACGCTCCTAGTAGCGATGCCCTTTGTTCCTAGTTATCCCCCAAAATGCAGCCCTGGAGAGGTAGGACCATCTTGCTTGCATTCACATGATCCGGGCACAACGTGTAGCGGCCAAGGGCATTCAGATGCTTTCAGCAACCCTGCTTGGCAGGGTTGCAATGACAAGGCATCATTCGGCATCGTTGTCCGATCGGACATCTCACTTTCCACATCAGAAACTGCTAGTTGATTGCGGTCAACTAGGCAAGAAATGATGCTCTGTAGGATGCTTGAGGGGCAACTAGCTGTTCACCGTTCACCAAAAAAAGAAACATGCTGGAACTGGTGATCTTCTTGGCCTTGAACCTTCTTGCTCAATTTCTTTTAACAGGTGAGCTCCACAAAAGCTGATCTGAAGAAGTGATGGACCACATGAAACAGGTGTGAAGTCTCACCCACTGGACTACAGATCATGCGGCGGACAAAACTTCTTGGTGTCCCCAATATTTTAGGTTGCCCCCTATCTGACCTATCCGTTTTGCAAGGTTTTGACCAATTCAAAAATACTTAAGGCGGCTCATGGCTAAAGTAAAGTATATGTACGGATGTTTTAACGTGGAATCCAATGGCCTTGAAGTGAGATGGGAAAATGGTTTAAAGCTTCCGTAGTGTGGGCGCTTGGCTTCTCAACTTCTTCATGGCTCCAGCTTCTGGACACAATTGATGTTTCTCACGCTCTAACCGCTATATCGTTTGTTTGGCCATTCCTGAATCGCATAAGAGAGCAACTAGAACAATGGGGAATGTTGTTTTGAAAAGAACAAACTACATGGTTTGTCTAATTATCTTGAATACTGTCGTTCACCTATCTTTGTCTCATCATGTTGCTCGGCTTGAAAGCTCATGCCATGACCTTCAAAGCCAACTCGCTTGCAAGCTTTCACCACCTTCTATGTACACCACCACTCAAATCCCACGCCAGAAAGTAGCCATAGGCACCCGCGGGGTTCTCGAACCGGGCATCACCGTGTAGGGCCTGCGTTTGGACGTGCTGCGATTTCCCTGAGCCAGGGAAAGCCACAGCTGTTGTGAAAACAGAGATATCTAAATCGCCATGGCTCAAACATAGGGTACCATCCCATGCGCACAAATGCTGGAGAAGCAGTAAACATAACATGTGTAGCCTCTGCATGGAGAAATGGACAAATGGTAATACAGGGATATAGCTTTTCTTGAATCCAAACGCATGAATTCAAACCATGTTTGGGGATATCTTAAACAGCACACATTTAGAGTCACTGCACTTCATGCTTTGAAGTAATCTCGGCAGGCCGCTGTGCTTCCCACCCACTTTCGCGTCCACTCAAGTCTTTTCTCCACCACATCGCCCGTGGTGCCGCCGCCGCTGCATGCATCCGCGCTTGGCTCGAAGGCATTCCTGCAGATGCAATGAGAAGCGACATGGGATGAAAAGTCTCTGTTTACACAAACATGTGCATGGACAACGGTAGCTATGGAAGCAACATGCACTGCAAACTGCTCCAGATAACTCAGTGCGTTCTGATCCTGTCTGAAGTTGGTGAGAAACATGGCGCACGGGTCTCAGTGTCAAGAGTGCGCCGCTCCCAGCTTTTGAGTTTTACTCTACAGGGCCAACATCTCACAAAGGAATGTCCGGAACAAGCTATGATGAGCTATGATGTGAATTCCAGTTGCAAATGACATGCGATGCTTGGGCTCCGCATTCCTCAAACACCTGGTGTGAAGAGAGCAATCTTACTCCCTTCAGCAGCTGAAACAGAACATTGTGGATAAACCAGCACATTTGCATTCTGTAGATGAGAAACCGGCCTCTACACACTGCTGGTATGAAAAGCCGGCTTGACTGCAATCTAGGGCAGAAAAGCCACCATCTTTGCACTCCTTGGCGGAAAAGCCAGCCTCTTTGCAATGTAACGCAGAAAGACCACTATCGGGAAAACCAAGCTCTTTGCATTCTGTGGCAGAAAGGCCTAAGTGAGCAGCCTTGAAATCTCTGACAGAATAGCCAAGCCATTTGCAAGTTCTGTGCGAGAGGCGGACACCCAAACATTCTCTCAAAGGAAAGCTAGCCTCTTTGGAATTCAATCCAGCATTGTGACACTCCATCACTGAAAAACCAGCCTCTTTGCAATCTACTGCAGTGAAGCCTGCATCTTTGCATTCTTTTGCTGTGAAGCCAGCATCTTTGCAT